ACACTGCAGGCCTGGCAGGGGGCGGAGGCAGGCGCCTGTGGGTGGGAGACGCACCCGAGCGGCTCTGGCAGCTTCTGCCGTCGGGCCTGTGCTCAGACTGGAGCTGCGCCGTGCACTCTGCGTGGAGACTCCCGTCCCGTCTTCCTACCCGTGTTTCAGAAAGAGGGAGACGTCTGTGAAGGGCCGGGGAAACTTCCCCGGGTGAGCGGCAGATTGGCATATTCACGTGTAAGCCTGTGTTCCAGATCCGCACAGACCAGCAAGCCAGTGGGGAGGCGTGAGCAGGGAAGGCCTTCCAGGAGAGCGGGCCGGCTGAGCTGCTCCGGCTGAGCTGCTCCGGCCAGCTTTAAAGCGTGCGACGCTTATTCTGGCAAACGGGCGGCAAGGAGTGAGCTTGGGGACTTGCTGTGGGACGGCGCGGGGGGGCTAAATGGCCTAGAACGGTGCCTCCTGGCGCCCTGCCCTGGTGTGTGTGCCTGGGGGCAGTGGGCAGGGGTGCAGTGTGGCCTGGCTGCTCACGCCTGCTGTGGGTTCCACTTCGGACCTGACCCGGGCCATGGGGCTGAGGCACAGAGGGCTGTTTTCCGAAGATCAGTCGGAATTCATCCGACTTGTATTTCCATGCAAATTCTGGGGTTGGGCTGTCCATTTCTGCATGGACCTGGCTGGGATTTTGAGGGGGGTTGGGCTGCGTTTGTGGGGCACTTCCAGGAGTCGCCCCCAGGAGATGAAGCCTCCCAGGCCCTGAGCCGGGCACCCCCATGGTCTGGGTCTTCATTTCTCTCGGCAGCTCTGTGGCTCTGTGCCCAGGTGTCACCTCCTTGGCTGAATTTCTTAGGTGTTCTTTTTGACGTCATTGTAAATGGCGTCATTTCTTAACGTTCTCCATTCACAGCAGGTGTAAAGAGAACCGGTTTGGGTGTGTCTTTGTCTGTTGGTCTGGGCCTGCGGTGGTGTCGAACTCCTTTGTTAGTGCTCTCATCTCATTTAACTTTGTTCATAGACCGTCTCAGGTTTTCTGGACACAAAACTGCACTGTCTGCAAATAGAGGCAGTTCAGTTCCTTTCTGATGTGGACGCCTTCACGTCAGCTCCCTGCCTGTGCCTGGTGCCTCTGAGCCGCTGGGCTGCCCTGGCTGGGGAGGGGAGGCCCCTTCCATCCCAGTCCTGGAGCCCGCTCTTCGTTCTTATCGCATTGGATGTTGTCAGGTGCTGCTTCCGCACCTGCTCAGAGACCCCTTGGCCGCAGCCCCTGGGGTGCTGTTTACAAACCCTGAGCTGCCTGAGTTGGAAAACAGGGGCCCAGGGCTCTGTGGAAGGAGTGGTGGCCTGTGCTAGAATCGACTTCCCAATATTAGAAGGATTCTAGGACAGAAAGTGTGCAAACTTCACACACGGGGCACAAAGAGAGCCATAAGGAGCGTAAGGAGTGTCAGCGGCTGTTGTCCTAGCTGGTGTCCAGCCAGCACACGTGTGGCTCTTTCCAGAATGGCAGCGACTGCCACCTGGCTGCCCTGATCTGAGATCCAGCCTCTGTAGCCACCCGCTCCGCCTGGCCTCCAGCCCCTGGACGCGGGTGTGGACAGGAGATCCAGAGAGCAGGTGAGAGCAGGTGGGCTCATTGGGCTCCTGCGCTTGGGCCCGCCGGGTTCGCTTGTCTCCTTCCCAGTGTGTCGGCCTCATCCTACAGCCGGCAGCTGAGACTCGGGGAAGCGGCCACCTGCCCAAGGTCCACGAGTGGCAGAGCCCGGCCCCCGCTGCTGGCTCAGCCCACGGGCGAGCGTGTGTCTGTCCTGACCAGCACCTGCTCTGGAGGGCCTGCAGCTCAGCCAGGCCGCCGGGGGCCATTGGTGGTCAAACCCCGGATGGGGGGGGGAGGGTCAGCTCCCAGGGGCCTCCCTGGGCGCGCAGGGCCGGTCGGTGGGGCCTGTGGTCAGAAGCGCCTCCCCGGGGAGGCCGCCAGGGCTGGGTGGAAGGTGTGTCTGGGGCCTCTGCCCGCCCACGCTGGCGTCTGACCTGTGTCCCTGCGCAGCTCCGCGCCCGCTGATGTCTGAGTGTCCGGCAGGGCGTGCGTGTTTGTGGGTTCTGATCAGGCACCCCTAGCCGTGGGCGGCCGGCGCTGACACGCGGCGCCTACCGCGTGCAGGCCCCGGATGCTGGGCGGAGCCGAGGCCCAGACTAGACTGGGACAGTGCGCAGTGGCAGAAGAGACCAGGCGAGGGGAAGAGACTGCGCCCACCCGCGGTGCGCAGCAGCCTGGACAGCGCGGCCCCACCCCGGGGAGGAGGGGCGCCCCAGCCGCTGGCGTGGGCGGGGCTTCCGGGCTGGCCGCTGCCACCTGGGTGCCGGCCGCACTGCAGGGGAGCTGCAGACCCGGATTCCCCGGGACGCGGGGAACGGGGCCCACACTGCGCTGTGTGACTCCCTAACTGGCAACTTCTGCCCGAGGTGGACAGGTCCTGGCCCCCAGGGGAGCCCCATTTGGGGGTCTCTTTGCATTTTGTTGAGTGTTGTTTATGTGGGGAGTGGGACCTGAGCTCCACAGTGTTGGGTTTAGTCCTCACGTGGGCCGCCGGAGACCGGCCCTGTCTCCCTACTGGGGTCTCGGTTCCTCCACCTTTCCAGGTTGCTCGGCCGCGAGAACCAGGCATCCAGCCCCTCTGAGGGCCGCCGTGCTGTGCGCTGAGGCGCGACTCTGCCCACAGTGCTCCCCGGGAACTATTCGTTTATCCAGAAACTTGTCCCATGTCCTGCCTGCCTCCTGGGGCTGGGGCCTCGCTCCCTCACGTAGGTCCTTGGGAAAGGCCGGTTGGTCACGTGTGTCTCCAGGGCCCGTGGCCAGTGGCCCAGAGCAGGCCCGTAGACCTGGGGTCTGAGGGATGGATGGAGACGGGCCCTGCCGTGGCACCGCGTGAGCCTCGTCCGTCTGTCTGCAGCACCAGCCGTTGTCTGGGGTGGAACAAGGCCTCTGGGAGACAGGGGGACAGGTTGGGATGGGGGGACCTCAGCGGCAGCCTTGGGGATGATGTGTGTCCGGTGAGGGGCCGTACGAGTCCCCATGGCCAGCAGCAGGCTCCTCTTGAGAGCCCCTCAGGGTGGTGCCCTGGGCCTGTCTGCCCCACTCCCCCAGCCCCGATCATGGAAGACAGTGTTTGCTTAGCAAAGAACCGTCACAGTGCAGACAGCCCCAGCTCCTGGAGGAGCTCCGGGGGGCCTTTTCAATGTTCCAGACTCCGCCGGGGAGGCCCCTGGAGGAGCCTGCCCATCCCTTTCCCGCACAGCCAGACTCGGGCGCCTCCCTGGTGGGTGTGAGCTTGAGCGTGTGCGGGGGCGGGTGCAGCTCCTTGACCCAGAGTGTGGACTTTGGTCGGGCGGGTCACCCCGCTGGCTTCCCCAGCAGGTGAGCACCTCCGAGGAGGCACGGAAGAGGCTCACGGGCCTGGCTGGGGAGGAAGGCGAAGCCCAGGCTTTGCTCTGCAGACGCCCAGACGCAGGGAAGTGGCGGCGGTGGAGTACAGGAGCTGGTGCCCCGCCCCCTCCTAACCGTCTGCAGTTCTGCTGTGACAGTGAGCACTGCGTCTTGGTGGGCAGAGGGCAGTCTCATCAAGGGGCCGGCCTCCATCCACCCCCAATGGTGACAGAGCCACCCTGGACTCTGCTGCTCAGTCTGTCCTGGGGTCTTGGGGTGCCTGCTGGTGGGGCAGCATCTGGGGGCCACACTGCACCTCTACCTACAGTGCGGCAGAGGCTCCTGGGCCGTCGGGGGCCAGAGGCAGGCCAGGCTCCGCCCTCTAGCGCCTGCAGCCCGGCGTCCCCTCAGACACCACTGGTGTGTGTGGCCTTGGCCTTCCTGCCCTGTCCATGGCCAGCCCTCTGGTGGCGGCCGTGCGTGTGTGGTGTGTTTGCAGGTGCTGCTTGTGGGCCCAGGTCTAATGTCTCAATGTAAACTGAGCTTGTGGCCATCTCACCTGAGGGCCAGCGCGGGAGCTCCGCCGCCCTGCCCCCACCCCTCCCCTGAGGCTCCTGAGTCGGGGTGCCCTCTCCCGGACCCTTGGCCACCCTGGCCCTCTCCCACTGTTGGGACACCCCCTCTGTGGCTCTCCTGCGGCTAGTTCACTCACTCTGGTCCGTGTTCTGCCACAGCAGGCCTCTCCCCTCCTGGCCAGACCAGGCCCTGGCAGCCCAGGCACGGTGTGGCCCTCCCTTGGGACCCCTCACCTGCTCACGGCCCAGGAGGACCCTGACCTCCCAGGGCTCAGGTGGGGTCATGCTCTCCTTGTGCCTGGTAGGCGTTCAGCTGGGACTCACACAGCCACGCATTTTCCTTGTTTATTGCACCGTTGACGTCATCTACAGTCCAGCATCTGCTGCTCCAAGCCCCGCTGCCTACTCTGGGACTGGCTGAGTGGTCGGAGCCACGTGGGCGGCTGGTAGGGACGGTGGCGCTGCAGGCAGGGGCCTCGTGTGTGGGTTTGCTGTGCCCCGACCAGCCCTTTGTACCCGGCCACGGAGACGAGGCGTGTGGCTGGCAGCCAGCCCTGTGCCCTGGGTCCCCCGGGCTCCCAAGCTGTTTGCTGAGTGTCCTCCTGTGAAGCTGGCTGGACAGGATGTTGCTGCTTTCTTGTGAATGTCTTCTTCCTAGTTACCACAGCAACACCATCAACTTAACTGATCTAGTTACTGTTGGTTTATCCATTTGGCTATGAAATTTTAAACACAAAGTTGAACAGCCTTCCCGGAGAACACTGCGTCCTCACCATTGACACCTCCCCGGGGCACCTGCTGGCCTGGCGGCAGCAAAGTGGGCACCAGAGGCCACAGCGCCTGTTACTCAGGGTTCTGCTCTGAGGCCTTAACTTTCATGTTTATTTTGCTTCAGTAATCACATGGAAAACGTGTTTTAAAACTGTACATACTGTTGGCCGAAAGTATCCTTGGTGCAGCAGCAAAATGAAATGTCACAGCAGGAAAGTTGTGAGTGACCTGGCTGTGGCCACCGGCCGGAGCTCCCAGGGGCACTCTGGGCGGCCAGTGTCCACCCGGATGCCGGGGACATTCGTCTTTTTGAATTGAGAATGCACCCCTGAACTTGAACAAGACCAGGACACCTGGCTCTGGGCCTGCCGTGTGAGGAGGACGAAGGGCAGGCTCCCCAGCTCGGGTGTCCTCTGCTGTCCACAGGGAAGCCCGTGAACTTGAGCTTAGTGGAGGCTGAACTTGAACCTGAGGAGGCTGCCACGTTTTGTGGGAAAACACCAGATCGAAAATATACAAGCCCTCCAAGGTAACCTCAGCAACTGGTGGGAGGTGTGTGCGGTGGGACAGTGGTCCTGACCCGCCACTCCGGGGCCCAGTGCGGTTGGTGGCTCTCCCCGTGGCCTTTCCAAGTGCTCAGTGGCCATGTTCTGGTCAGGACACCTCGTGCCCTAGAAGGTCCCGCCTGGTCACTTCTCTGCCCAGAGTTGGAGATGCAGGCATGGGCTGGAGCCAAGCCGGGACCTCCCCCCGGGCACCTCGCACAGAAAGGCATGTGGCGCTCAGCGAGGGGGTGGGAGGCCAGGGGCAGAAACTGGGGGGGCCTCTTTGAAGACAAGAAGTTTATTTTCTCACTTGAGAAACGTTCCCACGGCCGCTGTGGGATGCTGCCTGCCCCCCGGCTGCTGTCAGCAGGGCACCACGTGTGCCCCCCAGGGCCGGGCTGTCGCGGGCGCTCACCCCTTGGAGGGGCCTGGTTACGCGGGACGGGGGTGTGGTGCACTAGGCCCCGAGGTCCACGCTCAGTGGGCTGAGCAAGAGGTGGTCTCGGGGCTTGAACTCACGTTTCTCTAAAAGATATGGGGCGTCTTTGTGTGCTTAGTTTGTGCCTCGGGCGAGCAGGGAGACGGGTCTTCCTTCCCCGCCCACACGCCGTGTGGGGTCTGAGTCCTGTGGGAACGCGGCCTCCAAACACTGCTGCTCCTTCATTCGCTCACCCTTTCAGGGGTCAGCCACTGGACACCGAGGCCCGAACTGAGCTTTCGGTGTCCCGCCCACGGAACCCGGCCGGACGGGAGGCGCAGAGGCCCTTGCACCAGGTCTGTCCCTGCGCTCCGCCTCGAGGACTCTGGCTTCAATGGGGCTGACGGTGCTGGGCAGTGGCAGGTCCTCACGGGCAGGCTGAGGGTCCCCGTCCTCAGTCCTGTCCCCACGTCAGTGTCCACCTCAGCCCAGGTGGGCTCTTCCTCCGACGAGGCGCCTCAGCGCACCACCTGGGCTGCCTGCAGAAAGGCCCTTTTGGGCAGCATGGGTCGGGGACCGTCCCTGTGGGCTGGGGTCGCAGTGGCCTACGTGACCAACATTGGGGTCCCCATCATGCACATTACTGGTCAGATGCCAGGAACACGCGTGTCTGTGGTTCCCATGCAGGAAAGGACAGGAAGGGGGGAGTGGCCACGCGCCCGGACCCGGCGACTTCACGGAGACCTGTGCTCTGGACAGAGCTCCGCCCACGGAGCTCCGCCCACAGGAGAGGTAGGCCAGCCTGCGGGGGCCGGGCGGGCCCAGCGTGCTCCAGGCTCCTGGGGCCTCCACGGGGCGGGGGTCGGGGTCGCTGTGGGCACGAGGGCTCAGGTACAGGCGGAGTGGTGCACCCTGGTGTCTCACGAAGCCTGGCGTGTGGGGCTCTGCCAGACTAGTGTCCTCGGGAACTTGGCCGGGACCAGGGGTCCTCACATGCGCCCCCACGGTGGGCAAGGCCCAGGCCCCAGCTTAGCTTCCGGGCACCGAGGCTGCTCCTCTCGTCGCTGCTGACGTCTGTGTGACATTCCGGTCATTCGGACGCCGACAGATGCGGCAGGAGAGCTTCCATGGGAGTTCGGCTGCTGTACTCTGGGCACGGTGAGGAAAGAGGCAACTTCCAGACTGAGCCCCCGCTTGTTCCGAGGCTGCGGAGACCCTGTCCTGCACTGTGTCTCCTTTGAGTTGGTAAAAAAACCTACTTTCTCTGTGGCTTGATCTCTTCCTTCATATTAGAAATGGTCCTCAACCGCCGGCGCTCTGTGCACAAGGGAGTGAAGGCGATGACCAGCCGCCGTGGAGGTCGGAGCCGCCAGACCGCCCTTGAGGCGGGGCGTGTCCCCCGGGGTGGGCCTGACCCCTCGTGTCTGCAGGTGACGTCCCTCCGAGGGGGACCGGTGTTCGGACCGCTGTCGGTTTTTAGAGCAGGAGGCGGGGGAGGGGAGGGAAACGCCCGTCAGCTGCCTCTCGAAAGCCTTCCCGGGACCGGCCTGCAGCCCAGGCAGGTGCCCTGACCGGGAGTCGAACCAGCGACTCCTGGGTTTGCAGCCCGTGCTCCAGGCACTGAGCCCCACCAGCCAGGGCTGTTTGTTTTAAGTCACTGCACTTTTCTTTCTACTGGATGGGAAATGAGCTTCCCATTCCGGGGACCCCGGGTTCTTCACAGGCTCCTTCTACAGCACCGACGCCTCCTTCAGAATCGAGTCTTCCATTCTCAGGCGCTCCCTTTAAAGTGCCTGGCTGTGCCCGGCAGCCGCTGCTGCTCTCACCACTGACCGTCTTCCTTAGACGCCCAGACTAGCCAGTCTCCCCGGCCTCCCGCGGCGGTTTCAGCACCTGCCGACGACCGGTGAGCAGGACAGTCTACGTATACGCGCGTGGCGGTGGGGGGCTTTCCTTCCAAGAACAGTTGCTTTGGCTTCTGGCACCTGGCAGGTCGCACACCGGGCGGGTCCGGCACACACACCGGGCACACACCCGAGGCCCCAGCTGTCCCCTCCCTGGTGGCCCAGGTTGATGTGCATCCACTCGGCGGGGAGCTCTGTCCCCACGCCTGCCCCTGCCTGCCACGCAGTCCTGCAGCCTCAGCTCACACCTCACCTGGGTGCCCACGAGAGCCCCAGACCAGCGCTGTCTGGGGGGTCCCGCCGGCAGCTTTGGGGTCCCATTGCCACAGGGGGGGCACCGGCCTCAGGACCGCACAGATCTGTCGTGACGACATGGTCACCACGGCCAAGTTCCACGACGTGCACCCAAACATCTTCCCCCACAGACTCTTCTTCCCCATGTGGCAGACACGTGTGCCGTCACCATCGCCCTGCGATGTACAGCTGGGTCACGGGCTACTGCTGCCGGAACCGTGCACTGTGATGTCCCAGGAGCAGTGTGTTTCTTACACGCACACCCCAGCGCACTTTGCACACGCTGTATCCACCTGTGCACGCGGTGGTTGGACAGCCCACTCGGGAACCCGCCCTGGGAGCAGCCGGGCTGCTCCCTCCCCTGCCCTCCCGGTGCCTGTCCTGCCCCCCCCCCGCCCCCCCGTGCGGCACATCCGTGTCCCTGGAGCAGCAGCACTGAGCCCGGCCGGGGTGCTTAGGACACATCTGCTGAACGGACAAAGGTCTAACACGTCTTCTTGTGTTGCAGGCCCCAGGGCCACGGGGGCAAGTGCCGGCCGCTCCTCTGCCCCCACCTGGCACCCGCCCTGCTCACGTCACACCCCGACCCCCCGGGCACAGGGACCTCGCGCTCTGATGGGAACACGGACGTGCACAGCAGCACCAACACGGGAGGAGACGGGCGAGCGACTGAAGCGGTGCTGCCGCCACGCGGTGCGTCAGGGACGTGGAGGTGGGACCCCAGTGCTGGCCGCGGCCTGTAACACAGGCCCCCGTGGCGGGCGCGCTCCCCGCCGAGGGTGGGGGCTGGCCTGGGGGGCCAAGGAGTCACCCTTTGGGTGTCAGAGTCTGTCTTAACAGCATGGTGGTTACAAAGGTTGAAATGAATTGTGTCTCTCAAATCCCATAAAATTAAAACGCTTAACAGCCACACTCGGCACCACGTGCAGGTCACGCCCCAGAAGGAACAGTGAGCCGCGAGAACAAGAGGAGCTGATGCGGTGGACACGGGCCACCGTCACACGTCCCCTTCTCCGGGAGTGTCTGGAGACCCTACCGTCCCCTCCGGCTGCTCCCGCGTGAGGGGGCCACAGACCCACCGTTAGCGGCAACTCACACCACTGAGAGGCCCCCACCCCTGAGCACGCTTTCCTGCCCCGAGTCCCCGTGTCACTCTCTGCTGTGGACCTGCTGGTGCTGGATGAGGTGGAAGCTCAGGCGGAAGGCGCGGCCACACTGGGCGCAGCGGAACGGCCTCTCCCCTGTGTGGACCCTCTGGTGCCGGAAGAAGCCCGACAGGGCCCGGAAGGCGCGGCCGCACTCGGTGCACTGGTAGGGCTTCTCGCCGGTGTGGATGCGCCGGTGCTCACTGAGGAAGGAGCTGCGGCTGAAGGCGCGGCCGCACTCCCGGCAGGCGAAGGGCTTCTCCCCGGTGTGCACCCGCTGGTGCTGGATGAGGTTGGAGCTCTGGCTGAAGGCCTGGCCGCACTCCCGGCACTCGTAGGGGTTCTCTCCGTGGTGGGTGCGCTGGTGCCGGGCCACGTTGGAACTGTGGACGAAGGCCTGGCCGCACTCCCGGCACTCGTACAGCCTCTCCCCGGTGTGGATTCTCCGGTGCTTGGTGGCGTCGGACCTCTGGCCGAAGGTCCTGCCGCACTCGGCACAGCGGTAGGGCTTCTCCCCAGTGTGCACCCGCTGGTGCCGGAGGAGGTTGAAGCTCTGGCTGAAGGCCTTCCCGCACTCGCGGCACACGTAGGGCCTCTCCCCGCTGTGGGTGCGCTGGTGCCGGACGACAAGCGAGCTGTGCACGAAGGCCTTGCCGCAGTCCCCGCACGCGTAGGGCTTCTCCCTGGCGTGGGCGCTCTGCTGTCTGGCGGCGGGGGTGTCGCAGTGGTAAAGCCGTCCTGTCCGGTGGCTGCTGCCGTCCGCCGCAGGGCCCTCGTTCAGCGAGACACCTGATGCGGTCTCAAGGCCACTCCGCCCTCCAGTTTCCTCACGGGGGGCCGGCCCCCGGGGGGCCTCCTGGGGCTTCTCTCCAGCTCCCTCGTTCCCACGAAGGTCCAGAGACGCCAGGGCCTGGGCGGGCCCCCGACACAGTCCCGGCGCCTGCTCTCCTTGGTGGTCCCCTTCTTCCACAGCCACTTGCTGCCATGTCGACCCTGTGCTCTGAGCCTCGAGGGCAGCAGCTTGGTGGCCACATGACGCCCGTGGAGAGGGAGCTGGAAGAGAGGGTCAGCGTGGTCTCAGACACGAGAAACTCTGGGCTGCCCTGTGCTGCAGGGGCCCCGGTGCCCCCCGGCCACGCCGGGAAGACGGCACGAGGTCGGTGCGCACCCGGTACCTGTGTGCGGTCCTTGCTCGGCTGCCCTTTCCAACCTCTAGGGACAGACACAGGGCTGGGGACAGAGTGTCAGGGTAGGGATAGGGACAGACACAGGCTGGGGACAGAGTGTCAGGGTAGGGATAGGGACAGACACAGGGCTGGGGACAGTGTGTCAGGCTCCTTCCCTCTGACTCCGGGAAACCTGAGCCTCTGCCCCCATCAGCCCAGCCCCAAGAGCGGAGATGCCAGGCCCTGGGCCCCACTCAACTGTTCTGACTCTGGGCTCCAGGAGCGACACTGTCTCTGGCGAGCCCCCCACCTGCCACCTTGAGGGGCTGTGTGTGCGGAGCAGACTCTGACCCAGGTGTCAGCAGCAGAGTGCGCACAGTGAGCTGGGAGCCAGTGGGGCTGCCGTGGTGAGGTGGCAGGTGGAGGCCCCTTGGCTCCTGGCACGGAGCAGGTGCCCATGTAGACGAGCGTCTGGGACGTGGCACCACAGCCTGGGGACACCAGGAGGCTGTGTGGTCTCTGCAGCGTCACCAGGGTCTCCTGCGACAGGTGGCCCGGGACAAGGGCAGGGCCAGCAGGGCACAGACACGAGGTCCAGAGAAGACCTGTCCACCCACGGGCAGGCACCTCACCTGCCGCAGTCCCTCAGGACGAGCACACCTGTGGGACGTGGGCAGGTGCCCGAGAGGCTTCCTGCCGGCCTCTGACGGGTGGGCTGCACTGTGGAGGGATGCGGGGGACAGGGTGCGTCTGTGTGAGGGAAGGTGGCATTGACCTCAGCGCTGGTCACGTAACAGCCAGTGACAGCAGCCACAGAAAACTGAACCTGAGACTCGGCTTTGTCTGCCCCGATGCGGCCCCAACCCAGCCCTCCCTTGTCAGCTGCTCTGGGCCAGGAAAGGACGCCCAGAACCTGCCTTGTTCCCGGATGTCTGCAGCCGGGGGACCTGAGAAGGGGTGCGGGGCGTGGCGGGGGGACCGGGAGGTGAGGACCACGGGTGCTGTGGCAGGAACAGCGTGGGGCAACTGTGTTCCCGCGGTCGGACTCGGGAACCCCCCACTCCTGGGCTCTGACCCCTCTGGCTGCCCAGCCCTCACCTGCACAGGTGTCCATCAGGGCGGCCCTCGCGTGGCGTCCTGCAGACACACCAGCAGTGGGGACACCTGTTCGAGTGAAAGGAAGGAAGGGGAGGAAGTGACAGGAGGAGTGGGGGGGGTCAGAGCCCCCGGGTCCTGAAGGAGCCACCTCACCCACGTGCCCGTCTGTCACTGGGACACCTGGGTGGCTCCATGCCTGCAGTCCCCTTGCTCCAGGGGGACCCAGCCCAGCACCTTCAACTGGCCCTCAGATGTCTAGAGAAAGCCACAGAGGTCTTCATATTCTTTGGTAATTATGGAATTTTTTAATATAAAAGAAGTAAAAATGGTGTAATTTTGGATTGAGGAAAGATTTCGCTAAGTGCAACGCCGAAATCTGACGGGTTTCACCACACCAGAACATCTAATGTTAAAAATAAAAAACTGGCCCTGGCTGGTGTGGCTCAGTGGACTGAGCACAGGCTGCAAACCAGGGGGTCATCAGTTCGATTCCCAGTCAGGGCACATGCTTGGGTTGTGGGCCAGTTCCCCAGTGGGGGGTGTGTGAGAGGCAACCACACACTGATGTTTCTCTCCCCCTCTCCCTCCCTTCCCTTCTCTAAAAATAAAGTCTTAAAAAAGCGAAAGTAAATAAAAAACTGGGGGAAGACTTTCCTCAAAGCAAAAGGGTAGATCTACACACTTCGCCTCCTCACACAACTGAAAAGTTACAACTAGACCTCGAGTGACACCCAAAACTGTCAGAAGACAGAGCTGTACGGAACTCCGACGACTGGGATAAGAAGAAGCCATGTTCACCCAGACAGGAAGGGCGGCCCCACCTTCATGTGTGGTGCACAAAGACAGGGACGGACCCGTGGGGACAGGGGTGCCGGCCCAGGCCAGACCGCATAGCCCAGGGTTCCGGAGACGGGAGGATGAATCCTCTCGACTTCTGCGTAATAACCGGAGGGGGTGGGGCGGTGGGAGAAACGGCCAGAATTTCAGAAGACTGTTCAAAGGGCCTCGTACACTTAGAGGGAATGTAAACCCACCCCCTGTGCCCCGCCCCCTACACGCCCACAGGTGCCTTTTCTCCAGCAGGCCCTGCTGCTGAGGGGCCACGGCAGCCCCACCTGGTACCCGGAAGCACAGGGAGGCGGCCACAACAAGGGGGCAGAGAAGCCCAAGCCAAAGAGCAGGACAAAACCCCAGAAAAAGAACTAGACGGAATGGACACAACCAACCCAGCAGACAGACACAGGGCTCACAACACGGGTGGTCAGGAGGCTCACAGGACTCGGCTCCGCAACAGTGTGAAGGAAGAATGGGGCCCACAAAGTGCAATAAAGACACAGCCATGCCCTGGCTGGTGTAGCTCAGTGGATTGAGCGTGGGCCTGCGAACCAGACAATCGCAGTTCGATTCCCAGTCAGGGCACATTCCTGGGTTGCAGGCCAGTTCCCTGCAGGCCAATTCCCAGCAGGGGACGCATGAAAGGCAACCATACAGTGATGTTTCTCTCGCTCTCTCCTTCCCTTCCCCTCTAAAGATTAAAAAAAAAAAGCCGCTGGGAACCATCGGTTGGGGGAGGAACCGGGATTCAAACCATCGATTTGGTACATCAGGGAGAAATAAGCATTCGACCAGAACAGCAAGCAAGGAGGAATCAATAAAAAAACCCTGTGAGTATGAGGACCTTCGGGGACATCTCCAAATGTCGGGAGAGGCAAGGACCTGCATCCAAGATGAAACTCTATCCAGCAAAGCTCTCATTTAGAATGGAAGGGCAGATAAGTGCTTCCCAGATAAGGTCAAGTTAAAGGAGTTAGTTCATCATCGCCCAGCCCTTATTATATGAAATGTTAAAGGGACTTAAAAAAATTAAAAATATGAACAGTAAAATGAAAGCAAACTCACAGCTATTAACAAATACCTAAAACAAACTTAGCAAACAATTAGAACAGGAACAGAACCACAAATGGAGATCACATGGAGGGTTAGCAACGGGAGTGGGGGCGGGGGAGGCACAGAGAACAAGTAGCATAGCCGGCGGGGAGAAAATAGGGGGAGGGCAGGAACAGTGTGGGAAACGGAGAAGCCAAAGAACTGCCACGAAGGACCCGCGGGCGCGAACTAAGGGGGAACTGGGTGGGAGGGGCGTAGAGGGGGAAATGGGACAACTGAAATAATAGAATGGAACTATTTTAAAAAGTGGGTAACAGTCATGAACACGCAACCCACCAAACATCAGGGCCAACACGCCTTCAGATCTAAGGCCCACGTTTGTCCCATCTCATGAGCAACTAAAAAGTGCAGTGAAAACCTCCATGTTTTACCCTGAGCAGATCCACCCGGTTCACCGCTGCGCGCCTGGCGGTCACGGGACAACGTGGCGGGGGGGGGGGTGGCCCCGCACTGACTCCCACTCCCGACACCGAAATCGTAATTTATCTGCACGGAAACTTCATCTGGAGGTTTGCAGACGAAACCGTGTAAATTAGGTCATTTCACATAAAGAGCAGGGCTGGTTAACCCCTGCCAGCAACTGGGGACGCAGCGACCCCTGGCGGCCGTCACGCTGGCCTGGGGAGGCTGCCCGCTTCCACTCGACCCGGCGGACCTGCGGCTCTCCCGCAGCGAAATCCCAGGACAGACACGCGGCCTTCATCCCGGGCCTCACGGTCGCACTCGGCACGACCCCAACGTCAGGCGCCCCACCTAGCCAGCCACCACTTACCTGCAGTCACCGCTGCTAGCCCCAAGCGCCAGGCCCTTCACAGGCGACGCAGACACTTCCGGCAGCTCTCTGGGCTGTGGGAGAACTGTGAGCTCAACTGCTCTGGAGGCCGCAGGGCGGGCACTTCCTGGACACTCTAGGCCTCTGGAGAACTGTGCTCTCAACGGCCCTGGAGGCCACGACACAGGTACTTCCTGGGCGCTCTAGGCCGGCAGAGGGCTGTGATCAGCGGCCCTGGAGGCCGAGATGCGAGCACTTCCTGGACACTCTAAGCATCTGGAGGACTGTGCTCTCAACTGCCCTGGAGGCCATGACACAGGTACTTTTTCCTGCACGCTCTTAGACTCTGGAGGACTATGCTCTTAGTTGCCCTGGAGGCCGCGATACAGGCACTCTCTGGACGCTCTAGGCCACCAGAGGACTGTGCTCTCAGCTGCCTTGGAGGACCTGCCGCGAACAGTTGCAACCACTTTTTTTAAGGCTGCTTCCTGCAATGCTCTAGGCCAGGGGTGTCAAACTCATTTTCACCGGGGCCATATCAGCCTCGAGGTTGCCTACAAAGGGCCAAATGCAACTTTAGAGCTGTATAAATGTAACTACTCCTTAACTAGGGGCAAAGGGCTGGCGCTGCCACTGGGTAGGAACAAGGTGCCAGGCCGGATTTGGCTGAGGGCCTTGTGTTTGCCACCTGTGCCGTAGG